GTGTGTGTGTGTGTGTGTGTGTGTGTGTCTGTGTGTGTGTGTGTGTGTCTGTGAGTGTGTGTGTGTGTGTGTGTGTGTGTGTGTGTGTGTGTGTGTCTGTGAGTGTGTGTGTGTGTATGTCTGTGAGCGTGTGTGTGTGTGTTTGTGTGTTTGTGTCCTTTTTATTTTGGAGGTCAACTCCAACAAGCGCAAGAAGCGAAACGGGCCCAAATTGGTGGCTGGGTCGTTTGCTTCGTTTCTCTTCGTTCCACCACACGCAGGCAGCCGCCGAAGCCTGCAGCACAGCGGAAAAGGTGGATGGTTTTTTGCCAGACGTGAATGAACTGGAGCCCGTTGTTTATGCAGAAGGAGTCTCGCAGGGGAAGCGTCCACTAAAGCTCCTCTGACCAACAGGCCATACGTGTAGCCCCCCTCCAAAGAATCGAAGCAGGTCTTTGTGATGATGCTTTTATAAAGTATGCAAGTTGGACGCTGCGCTCGCAACGACAAATCACAAACAACTTGATCAACATGTGTTGAAAACTTGTCTTCCTATAAGGATCCCCAGCCACATCATGTGATCTCTTGTGTCGTATGTGATTGCACTTATGCATTTCACGTTTGACTCCGGCATGCTTCATAGGCGTCTTCAAGCCTTCAAAAGATTTTCGGAGGGCCTCAGATGGACAGTTTTGAGTAGCTAGAATTAAAAGAGCTGGGAAGCACATCAGCGTATCGACAGCAATGCAATGGGTGGTGAACCGAACCCTGGTTGTGAGCCGCATGTGAGGGCGTTGGTCCGATTGGCGCAGTCGAATGCTCTGCAAGGAATCCCTGAAAATTCTCAGCGTGGCAAGGTCAAGACGCTGGCAGAGGACATTCTGCGTTGAGCCACGCCTTTGCCCAACCCGGGGGAGGGAAACGCCAAGTGGGTCAGACTGCGGCTGCGCTGCCGCTATAGTGCTGCAGCTGATGATGGCGGAGGTGCCGCTGGCGGTGCTGCCCCAGCTCATGGCGCACAGGCGTCCGGCACGAAGGTGTCAAGTTCATGGCAGTCCAACTGACGTACAATTCAAGCCATGGTGACTTTGCATCGTTGGACGAGACGGTACTTCGACCCTTTTTTAGCCGGTTTTTGGCTTTTCCTGCATGCCTGCCACATGGAGAGAGCTTCGCTTCGTCAAGCGTATCTTCAAGCCTCCCCGCATCTGGCACAGGCATTTCACCGACGTTGTCGCGATGCCTTGCAAGCCCCCACCGCAGCCCTAACACGACTTCAGGCAAGGGATACATGGGTGCTGTTCGCCACGGGCACCTCTATTTCGTAATGGACAAGACGTGTCTGTGTAGACACAGACGTTTTTCAGGGACTCAAGGGTCCTGTTGGTGCCAGAAAGCCTTGCGGAACCATGTGGAATCGGTGCCTCATCAGGGGGGGCCTCCTCGGTAGCTGTGTGTATACACAACCACCCACACACACACACACACACATTTTACATGCATGTGCGCATATGGCATTTGTATACGCATAGAATCAGCTTCGAGTTTCAGAAAGTTCGGGAAGTGGGGTCGGTGATTGAACTTCGACGGAGGTCCTCGTGTAGGTTCTTAGTATGTACAACTAAAAACTTCTTATGTTGGAGCTAGCTAAAGCCCGAATGTCTAAGCTGTTCTAAGCTCACATCGCGGAACCCTAATCTTGACATAAAACGCAGAAATCCAGAGCTGTCCCCGGTTCCGACCGGTCACCCCAAGAACCGACGTTTACCTAAGCCTAAGCCTTGAATCTGACGCCCCAAAATTTGAAAGCCCTGAACCATAAGGTTCGTGCATTTACCCGAAATTCCGTGGACATGCCCAGGCATATGCTCGTTCTGAGACCAGGGAACCTGCATCTTACCTGTTCTTGTTAAATTTGTAGTTTGGGCTTCGGGGGGGTTACGGGTTAAGGTTTAGGGTTCAGCGTAGGGTTGAGTTCAGGCTGTAGAACTTTCTGGAAATGGCATGGTTGAACGGATCTTGGGGCTCGGGTTTTCAGTGGGCTGGGGTCGAGCGCATTTAGCGTTTAGGGATCTTGGGTGTAGGGTTCGGTGTTTCCTTCGTTTGGGTTTTTAAGCTCGAGGGGTTCTGGGGTTTAGGGCTCAGGATTGCTGGTGGGGGTTTTAGAATTTGAAGGCTGCATGGGAGGATGGCCAAAGGCTTCCAGAGCATGTAGGGCGGCTAGTCTAAACTAAACTATAAGCTTTTGCTATGGGCAGGGCAGCATATTTCAAAGCAGCAACCATTGCGGTCTTGGCCCTGGGTTTTTGAGGTGCAATGTGGCAGGATCTGCGACGAGATATTGGCCCAATGGTTGGGGTTTAGGGTTTAGCGAGACCGAAGCAGAGCTCTTGCAAGTCATTGCATGGCCAGGGGCTCCAGCCTTGGAGCGGGACGATGTAGCCACACTCCATCAGCGGAAGGGTTTACGATGAGGTAGTTTTCTTGTCTGAAGACATTCTACGGCTGATCGCTCACCAAACCGGGTGCCATCGGGGCAACGTCATCCTCCGCTGCGGAAACTGGTTGGACATCGATGCCAAAGGTCGGCGCCAATTTGGGGTTTGGCAGCCTTACCGGGGCGACCTCCATGCTATCCCGAAGCAGTGTTACAAGATCGTTATCAGCCACCGTCAAGCTACCCGGTGGCTTCGAGACGTGCTGCGAAAGTAGCCTAGTTGGTTGTCGGCGGTTAGGGTATATAGGGTTTATAGGGTGTGGCAGGGCGAAAGGATTCCTACGGGCTGAGAGTTCTGCCGTATTACCGTTTAGGATAAGGTTCAGGGTTTAGGAAATGGGTTTCGGGCAGTGGGCATCATGGTTTGATGGGCTTCAGGGTTAGGCTTGATCCTTGATGCTTTTGACTACACACACAGCCCCAACAGCTTAAACCCTAAACCTGTAAAATTATTTTGGGAGGTCCTTATTATAGCTGTAATATAATATACCCCAAAACCCTATTCCAATTATTAAGGCCCCTACATTATTGATTTGCCCTTAGGCCGCTCTACCCCGCCGGAAAGAGGAAGGTATATTAAAGTGGGTCTAAGGCCCATGCCCCCGATT